CTCCTCCTCCGCCCCTCCTCCGCCCCTCCTCCTCCCCCCCGCGCCCCCCACCCACCCAGGGCACACCGCACAAGGTGACGGAGGATGAGAAGGCTCAGGACAAGCTGCTGGAGATCTGCGCTGAGTTCTCTGGTGTGAAGCTTCCATGATTGTCGACATACTCGAAGAGACGAAATGTCATTACTACTTCCTCTGATACCAGGGCCCCAAGACGCCGCCCAACATTCCTTCCCAACTTCACTCTTCCCCCGTAACCCTCCTCTCCCACAAGAAATCATAATCATCCATCGCCTTCTTCACAAAATCCTCCAAATCATCCGCAAACTCCTCATTCCACTCCTCCGCCCACTTCTTCTTCTCATCCTCCAATTTCCTGCCCCGTGCCGCGAGTCCCGGTTTAATCCCCTGCAGAAGTAGAAGAACGAAGTCAGTATATATCTCACATCTCACAAGCATTCCGTACAACAGCCGCGACGTACCTTACTCGCATTAATCGTGCTCAGAAACCGGGCCATGAGCGGATTATCCTCAATCTTCTTCTCCTCCCACTCGTACTGCACGGCCTCGGGATCGAGGCCACATTGGAGGCACAACTGGCGGACGGCAAGCGGGTTGTTCATGATGTCGTCGGCGTCGATGATGCGGGGGACGATGCCTGAACTAGCCTCCCGCTCCGCATACCACTCATACAGCGCTCTCGTATACTTGAGAGTATACGTGGTACACGTATACAACGTCCGTGGCTTGGTATCCGGAAAGCTATCTTTCTGCGCGCGCAGCATAGACGGGAACATCAAAATCGGATGCCGGATTTGGAAGATGGGTTGGAGGGAGAGGAGGAGGGAGTCGGGGACGGAAGTGGGGTTTGTGTGTTGTAAGGAGGAGGAGGAGGAGGGAGAGGCATTGCGTGGGTGGATGGTTAGGGCTGGGGGGGTGTCGTTGGGGTAGACGGTGGAGAAGAGGCGGTCGGGGCCGGAGAGGAAGATTGTGTGTTCTTTTACGAAGGCTTGTTTGCCCTATGGAGTTGTTAGTTGGTGTTGCAGATGGGGATTGTGATAGCGAGGAGTGGGACGGGCCAGCCCGAGCACGTCATCTTGTGGGCGGATCACGACGGGCGCATGTGCGGTTGTGGCGCAGCCTTGCCCTTATACATAACTCCCACCCCACACTTCACCTCACCTCCCCCCTTTCTTTCTTTCCTACTTACATTCTCCGCGCAATCGTCCAACTCGTCCTCCAAGCTGCCAAACGCCGTTTTGAACGTCTCATACAACCCGTTTCTCTCCTCCTCGGGCCACTCACTCAGCGGTCCTTTCTCAAGATTCATCAGCGTAGCAAAGCCGCCGTCGAAGAGCTTGTAGCCAGAGTTCTGGTAGCCGGGCTGCTTGGACATCATGGTTTGGAAGAGATTGGACGCTGAGCGGGGGTGCGTAAGGAGGTAGACTCCGCGGCGACCGGGGGGGAAGGCATTGGGTTGGGGGGTTTGGAGGGTGCCTGGCATGTTCGCTTGCTTCCAAGGTTAAGAAGATGTGGTAGGTAGGTTGGTATGGAAGAAGAAGAAGAAGAGTCTTGATAAGATGATGGATCTATCAAGCAGAGAGAGGAAAAAGAGCAAGGCGAAAGAATTACCGACGGCAGAAAAGAGCTGGCTATCGCAAACAACTTATGCGCTTGCGGACGAATACACCCCGTCACTTGTACCTTGTATGAGGATCATCACGCTGCAGTACAGCGGGCTACCGACTGCCCGCCCTACCCAACGGTCTCACCTCCATGGTGTATCCACTTGCGGTCTACGGCGACCGAGGAGTCCGAAAGAGCGGAGCTGATAAAGCGCTGCAAGGCGATATGGCTTTAGGCTGTGGCTGCTGTCAAGGCTACGTAAGGCTACGTAAGGCTACGTCCACTAAGCGTCGCATACCAGCCCCGCACAAGGCGTAAAGTGACTGCAGTCGCCTCGCGCCAGCGGCCGACAGACCGACGTTACACTATCGGCCGAACGTACGATGCAGATCCCTGTGTACAAGCAAGGTACTTTTAGTACGACCGCTACTTTCGTACATCAGGCAAAGTCAGGCGATCTCGGTGGATATTGTGTAGTAACAGGCTGGGATTATGTGGGGGTATCATGGAAAAATTATCTTATCAATCAATCTGATCAAAATCAATCGCCGAGATATATGCGAGCACCCTTCTCAGCAGTGATCTGCGCCTGTTGTAACTCAACTCCACCAGCGCTGTGTTCGATCGCGTAATGCGCGACTGTGAATGTTGATGCCGAGGTCGGCATACTCCAATCTAGACCCTCGACGTGCTCATGTCTCGTCAGAGACTGCGCGCGTGCATACAACCCCTACCCCGTCGACCAGAAATTGCCCTTGTTCGCATCGATCGTCGGGGCGCGCCAGGATAGTGAAGCACGCAGCAGGTTCGTGCGGTCCTCTGGCGTAGGCAGAGCGTCGTTGGTACCGCGGTAAGCGTGGAAGAGGGTATTTCCTGCATGGACTATGCATCAGCGTTGTGAAGGACAAGCACTGACTCATCCGCGACTATGCCTCAGCCCTCTTTCCCAGCCTGCTCATGCTCCTTGTCCTGTTCGTGCCCATGTTCGTGGTGCCCGTTGAGATGCAGGATCCGCTTCATGCCGTCTACACTCTTCTCCAGATGGGGGTGTCGGGCTATGAAACCTCCATGATGGCCGTTGGATGGAGTACCGGTAATAGTGCGCTTCTTACCGGCAAGAGGGTCAACCGCAGCTACCCTTGGAGGCCACTCATCCGAGTCTTTCCAGCCTTGTACCAGCGCCTTGGTCATGTCTGCGAGGTTGATGGGGACCGAGGGCGTGCGCGACGAGACTACGATCTTCTGGAAGATGTCGCGGTATGCTTTGGGGGTGATGGAGGCACGGATCGGGTTGTCCTCGAGAAGACGCGGCGCGACGGGAACGAGGTCGAAGGTGTCGGGCGTGGCGCTGGTGATGGAGTGCGATTCGGAGCCGGTGGGTGTGACGGCGTGCTCTTCGGACGAGTAGCCTGCGGCTGAAGACGGGCGGTTGGCCTGTCTTTGGCGGTTCGTGCCGTACTTCTTCACGCTCGCTGCGCCAGTCCACACGTCTCGGCGCTCGACCCAGATTCGCAGCCCTTCGTTGTCTTTCATCTCGCGCTCCAGCCTCTCTCTACGGCGCCTTCTGCGCGCTTCTCTTGTGCTCGCTACCGCATCGCCGATGCTCTCTGGGTTGTCGAACCTGTACGGGCCGACACCTTCGTCTTCTTGATCCGAGTCTCCAGATTCCGACTCGCCGTAATAGCGCTCGCGAAAGTCGGCAGCGTCACGCACCTCTTCATCCGAGGCTGACCAGATGGCAGGCACGTCAGGATACTCCCAGTCGTTGCGCAGGCGCTCGTCGAGGTAGCGCCGGGATGCTCGGGCGGCGCTCAGGTTGTTCTCCATGGTTGAGGCGTGAGTGCAGCGCTGATCGCAGGTGTGATGGGCAGAAGAGTGGGGAACTGCAAGCGGGGACCAGGCTGACTGTCAGACCCCAAGGTTGGAATTGCCTGAATACCAAGACTAGTGACGCACGCGATCAACAGGTTGATCACCGTCTCGCAGACGTCAAACAACTATCGCGCGTTGTGCTGCGGGGTATTTTGTACAATCTCGAAAAGATCAGACGGTCGTGGAAGCGGGTAGAGAGTGGGTATGCGAAAAGAAAGTAAAACCGGCAGTGGCCGCGATTAAGAGGGTCAAGGGCAAAGACAATGCGACAAAGCTTGAATGGGCTTTGCGCTGGCACTGGCGCCAAATGCATCGTTGACGTCGACCGCACGCAAATGCATGCAGGGCAGAATGGCGGGGGGCCTGCACTTTACCCAGCCGAGCAAGCGTCACATCATTCCACCTTTCAAGGTTCACCCAATTGCCCTTCACGCTATAAGCCGTACAGTGTGAGCAGCACTTCATGGCCAACAGCATACATGCATATTACTTCCATTGTGACTATATCGTTTCAAAACATGCGAACTAACTAGACTCGCTCTGTAGGTACGCCATAAAGTACTTTGCACTCCGTCCTACCGACCACCAACCTGTCCAGCTCTAGAACGAACCCGAATTTATCATACATGTTGAACAACAAATCCACCTTCACAGTCTTTCCGCCCAGAAACCACGCCCACAACCCAACAGTCAATACCTCACTTCTTCTTCCCCTTAGCCACCGCCTTCGCCTTCCCCTTCCCCTTAGTCTTAACCTCCTCCTCATCCTCGTCGTCATCCGCATCCTTCTTCTTCTTACCCCCCTTCTTCGGCGCCGCCTTCTTCTTAGGCTGCTTAACATATTTATCCTTTGACAAATCCACATCCTCCTCTTCATCCTTGACTTCTTCCACAACCTCGCCGTCGTCAGATTCGTCAATCGCTTCTTCGAGATCGGGCTTCTCTTTGGCTTGTTTCTTGGGTTGTGCGACGGAGGAGGCTTTCATGAAGGGGAGGGGGTGGGATTGTTGGTTGTAGCTGTTGCGGTGGGTGTTAGTGGTGTAAGGGGGCGATGGTAAGATGAGGGGGCACTTACAGTCGGGTAAAGGTGGATTTGGTTTGTGAGTCGATCTTGACTTTCTCTTGGTCCATAGGTCCGACGCCGAGTTCCATGATTGCGTCGAAGTCGTCTTTGGTGAGGTAGTAGCTGTCCATCAGTTCGATGACTTGCGGGACAGCGTCCTTGCCTTCTTTCTGCAGCTTCTGGACTAGGTCCGTCCAGAGAAGTGGGACATACTGCTGGCGAACCTCGTGTCGATCACCGGACGACCGTAGCCTCATGTGAGCTTGAATCTCCTTGATCATTCGACTCAGCTTGTTCGTAGAACTATTCTTTCCCAGCCATGATGTAAAGCGTGTCTGGTTACCAGCAGTGCTGCCAGCCACATAGCTTGCAGGCCTGACGAAACTGAAGACTGCGTGTGTAGGCATCAAACTCCACTGCTGCTGAGAGCCGTGAATCATGCGATCCACAAGATCACCATCACTGATACTGTCGGCTGCTAACGACGCCAACTCCAGATTCTTCAGGTTCTTCTCTTTGCCAGAGTAGTTCAAGGACTGCATCGGGTTCGTGCCGAGGTAGTTCTCCTGCAGCATCAACGGACTGAACTCGTGGTCGTTGAAGTAGAGCTCAATCTTCTCGTTGAGTGTAGCTTTGCTGCTCGAGGCGAACATGCCGCCACCAAGAATCTTCTGCGTGATGTCCCATGGCTTCAAGATGACATGCTTCTCCCAGCTCTTAGACATCGTCTTGCCCTTGTCGAAATCCATGGCTGTTTGGTCGAGTTTGGCTGTAGAAATCATGTTGACGACCTGGCGAATATCGGCGTGGCTGCCTTCAATGAGAGCATTGACGACTGGCGCAGGCATCTTCAAACCTTCTCGGTACGCGATGGTCATGATGCGCGATCGTACTTGGTCGACAGTGGGCCGTCGGAAAGGCAAATCGAACGTAACGTAGTCGAACGGCTTCATCTTTGGCAGCTTCCTGTCGTTGCAGATGAGGATCATGGGAACCTCCGTCTTCTTGCACACGGCTGCGAGCGCACCGACACCACCACGGTCGCCCGCAGACATGCCGTCGACTTCATCCATGATCAAGACGAGCTTCTTCTTAGCCGCCTCAACCTTCTTTCCGTCTCCAGCAAAGTAGCCGTGGAGTGAATTGGTGCTGAGGACACCACGTAGACCGTCCTCGATGAGCTTCTTACTTCGGGTATCACTGGCGTTTCTCTCGACGATATCGTATCCCTCCAGCTTGGCGACGAGATGCGCTGCGGTAGTCTTGCCAATACCCGGTGGACCATGCAGCATGATGGCACGGAAGTTTCCGCTACCGTCTTTGCCAGCCAACTTGAAGCCAGTCTTGAGGTTCTTTGGAAACATCTGCAACCAGCGCTGGATCCTCTCAACCGTCGCCTTGTTGCCGCAAATCTGGTTGAGTGATGTGGGCGCATACTTGGTAGTCCACAAACGGGAGTCTACGGCTGGACCTGCACTCTGTGCAGCTGCTGTGACGGCAGAGGCTGTCTTGCTACCGGAAGCTTTCGCTGCTGCCGACAGCTCTTTCTGACGTTTCTTCTCCTCTTGCTCAAGCTCTGCAGCTTGCTTCTTGATCTTTTCCTCCTCCTTACGTTGCTTCTCAGCGTGCTCGGCCTGTGCCTTGCTGTCGCCCTTGTTGCCAGCCGCAGTCAGCTTCTCGATAAGCACCGTCAAGCCATCCTCGTCGATTGTCTTGATTTCCATCTCCTGGATCTTCCGCAGTTTGCTCGGGCCAGCATCTGTGCCTAGCACAACATAGTTGGTCTTCTTACTTGGAGCGCCAGTGACCTTGCCGCCGTGCCGTTTGACCAACTCTTGGGCTTCAGTGCGACCCCACTTCTGCAGCACACCAGTGAAGACGAATGTGAGACCCGCAAGACATGTCTCTGAGCCTGATGGCATCTCGCTGGATCCGCCTCCGAGTGGTGCAGCTTCCCCACGACCTGCATTCGCCTGCCAGTTGAACTTGGCATTGTCGTCTTTGGGTGGTGGTGTGGGCGCGCGCACTGTAGGGATGCTGTCGTAGATGGCCTGGATATCCGCACTATCCTCAACCTCTTCCTTCTTGGCCTTCTTTTTCGCTGGCGACTTCGGTGTCGTCGTTGTAGCCTTCTTCGGTCGTCCTTTCTTGGGCTTCTCCTCCTCTTCCTCCTCGTCATCGGATATGGGTGACTTTCGCTTCTTGCCCGCAGTCGATGGCTTCTTTGGCTTGCTCTTCAGTGCTTGTTCATCCTCTTCGGGCTCCACAAAGTCGTCTTCTGCGTCGATGTCCTTCATGTCGATGTCTTCACCATCTGGGTCGAAGTCGTCTTCCTCCTTGATCGCCTTTTGTTGCTTGGCTGGAGCCTTTGGTGTTCCGCGATGTGGCAGCTTTACGGGTACATCGTCATCGCTCTCCGAGGCTTCTTTGTAGTCGTCCTTGCCTTTGCCCTTGACATTGGCCTCGAAGATATCGTCTGCGTCCTCCAGGTCGTCGTCCGGGAACTCATCCTCGTCATCCCGCTCGGCATAGGATGTGACGGGTTTCTTCGCTCGGCCAGATGCCTTAGCATTGGTAGCCGGAGTAGCCGTCTTCGACGCCTTTCCGTTCGCCTTCGCAGGTGCCTTCTTCGGTGTCGCAGCAGGCGTTTCCGCGGCTTTCTTCTTGACAGGTTCAGTTCGCTTGGGCTTATTCGAGCTGGCAAAGAAGTCGGATGTGGTGGTTTCTTCGAGTACAGGTTCTGGTGTCGGTTCGCGCTTGACCTTCTTTGCGGCGGGCTTCTTCGGTGTCGCTTTCTTTGGCCTATAAACTGTCAGACTTGACGTCACAAAGCAGGAATTGTATACTCACTTCGCCTCCTCCTCCTCATCGTCGTCAGAGTCCTCTACAACACGACTGGTGCGACCCTTCTTCTTGGGCGCGGCCTTCTTCGGCGCAGGCTCATCTTTCTTCTGCGATCCCTGGCTTGCCTTCGGGGGCCCGCCGCCAAAGAAGCTGCGAATGTCGGCAGGCATCTTGACGATGAAAAACGCGTGTAATCAGATTGTAACAGTGTGACGCGTTCGCTGACAAGTGCTGAGCCAAACAATGGGGGGGAACGGGGTTTGGGTGGGTTGATGGACAACAGGCGCCATTGACGTGCACGACGCGACTTCGCGCGGTCATTAGGCAATTAGGCAGGCGCATTGACGCCACACCCCCGCGTGCGCCACAGCAGCCACAAATTTGTCTTGGCATCAGAACTTCGACATCAAAGTTACGGAACGGCTCTGGTGTAGCTTCAACATCACAACGCCATGCCGCCACCAAGGATATCACAAAGCCTGCTGGCTCAATTCGGGAGACTGAACATCTCCGCATCAAGGCCCACACGTACGACTCCCAAATTCCACCTCCGACAGCTCTGCTAACGCACCCCCAGTCCTCCAACAGACATGCCTATCTAAACCCCAACCCACCCTCAACACCCCCCGCCTCTTCTCCACCACCCGTCCCACTCTCAACTACCTCGCCCCCAAAGCCGGCGAATCCCGCAAATCACGAAAAGGGCGCTGCCGCGTCCCCACGGGCGGCAGCATGCGCGGCACAACCGTCGTCTGGGGCGACTACGGGCTGCGAATGCGCGACCACGACCGACGCATCTCCGCGCAACAACTCCGCATCGCCGAAGAAACCATCCGCAAACGGCTTCGAGGCATGAAATTCCGGCTCTACATGCGCATCGCCGCCAACATCGGCGTGTACACCTCGGGCAACGACGTGCGCATGGGCAAAGGAAAAGGTAGTTTCGACCGCTGGACTGCGAGGGTGGCGGTGAGCAAGATCATCTTTGAGATTCAGGGGGATTTGCACGAGCAGGTTGTCAAGGATGCGTTTAGGCTGGCGGGGAATAAGTTGCCGGGGCTGTATGAGTTTGTGAGGAAGGGGGATGCGCCGGTTATGGGGATTACGAAGGTGGGGTTGAATGGGGTTACGGAGGAGGATTTGAAGAGGCCGAGGAGGAAGGAGCCGCTTGAGCAGACGGCGGGGAGGATACCTGATGCGAGTTCGAGTGCGCCGGCGAATGGGCCGAGGGTGGAGATGTAGATGGGGGTTGGGATGGAGGCTGTGGACCGGAAGAATTGAGGTCGTCTGCCACTTCAGCTGCGTGGACGATGTTATCAAGTGTAAATGCAATGTGTAGCATGTATCATAAGAGAACATGTATTGAACTGTACAATTTTGAAATCGACAATGGACAGTATGATCAACATCAACCCTGAAGAAAGCACAACAAATAATGAATGGGGTATGTAGGTATCAACACGCCAGCCCAGCTCTCGCCTCATCAATCAAAACATTCCCCTCACGCCTTATACAGCGTATCCAAAAACCCCTTCGCCAAATCCACAACAACGCTCTTATTCGGCAGACTCCCCGCGACACCATACAACGCAGCCGTATCCCCCTTAACCGCCCCCTTCGCGCCCTTACCCTCCGCAATCCTCTTCCGCTCAGCATCCCTAACCTCCTCCGTAACCTCAACCAGATCCTCAATAAGCTTATCCACCACCGCAACAATCGGCAGCGTGACGGCAATGTGAATAGCAGGCGGGTTCTGGAGCGCATTTAAATGCCAGCCTTTACCGGACATGCCATCAGCGATGTCATAGATATCGAGCGTGTTGGACAGGAAAGATACGACAGAAACCATGGGCCGACCGATGATCTTGAGATCAGACGCGAGTTCAGGTTTCTCGCGGATGGCGGTTTCGATCTTCTTCATGCCGCCGACGATCTTGTGGCAGGCGTCCAGGTAGCCGTTTGCGCCTTGCTTGACCAGACTGGCCCAGCAGCCTGCGATTAGGGCACCGGGGCGTGAGCCGGCGATCGAGGGGGATGCGTAGACGCCGCCGGACCAGTCGGGCGAGATGAAGTATTGGTATTTGCGGTATACGTCGGAGCGGTAGAGGACCGTGGAGTTTCCTTTGGGCGCGAAGCCGTATTTGTGCGTGTCGCAGGAGATGCTGGTTACACCGGGCAGACGGAAGTCGAAGGGCTCGAATTCGAAACCTGCCTTGGGGAGCATGGGGATGATGAAGGAACCTAGACAGCAGTCGACGTGGAGGGGAATCTTCTTTTTGACTGCGAGTTTGCTGAGGCCGGAGATGTCGTCGATGATGCCGTGGGGAAAGTTGGGCGCAGAGCCGACGAGGAGGACGGTGTTCGGGTTGATGAGACGGGAGACGGAGGGTAGGTGGACCTTGTAGCTCGGTGCTTTGCATGCCACGAGGTGCATCTTTATCTTGAAGTACTCGCAAGCCTTGCGGAAGGCCGTGTGTGCGGTTTCAGGCAGGATCATCTCAGGCTGAGTGACGCCACGCTCAGCGTACGCCTTGTTGCGTGCGGAGAGACAGGCCATGAGGATAGACTCTGTGCCGCCAGACGTTGTAACACCAGCCGCATCGTCCGGTGCGTTGAAGAGGGAGAGCACCATAGCCACAATCTCGGCTTCCATCTTCCTCACACCAGGGAACACATCCGGATGGATGGGGTTCGCAACGGTGAACTTGCCAAACGCCTCTGTCTGCAATCTGATCAACTCCTCGCCACCGTGATATACCGCACCGCTGACTCTTCCATCTTCCCATCGGGTATGTTCCATATCAGCCAGTTCGCCCAGCTTCTTGCGCACCTCCTCTTCGCTCCATCCTTCGGCGGGCAGACTGGTGATGCGCTCGACGCCGGGACCGCTCGGAACAAGTTTGCGTTCGAGTTTTAGGAGCGAATCAGACACCTGTGCCTGGACTTTGTCGCGTACGCCGGGAAGTCGTAGGAAGACGCCGTAGAGGTAGCGGCGAATGCTGATGTAGGCATCGCTGATGGAGCCGAAGATGCCGCGTCCTTTGAGTTGGTAGAAGGTTATGCGTGTCCAGCGGAGGAGGAAAAGGACGAAGATGATGTTGCGCAGGCTGAATATCTCATGTCAGTATCCCGCTCTTCACTTATCGTTATCGGGTAGGAGTGGCGCATACACATCGATGTTCAAGGCGACGAGCTGGCCATTAGCGGAGCTCTTCCGCGCATTGAATGTGTCGCGGAGACTGACGGGCAAGCGCGACGAGCCAGGCATCGTGGGCGGGGTGGGCAGGGTGGGCAACTGGGTGTAGGGTTTCAATCAAGTCTACGCCAAAGACATGATAGTAGGAATGTGGAGTTTGGGTCGCGGGTTGGCGCTCTGGTTAAGCATTTGCAAGAGGGCTTGCCATGTACGTCAATCACATGTCGCAGCCACTGGCGCAACGGCTTCGGACTGCCGAGGAACCCGCGTCCGAGATCCTAGCGGGGCATTTCCACTTGAGGAAGCTGCTCCTACATAGCAGCCATTTGTAAGTAACATCAAGGTAATAGTTGTCGGATTATATTACTGGTAGTAGTGGCAACGCATGAAATGTTCACGTTTCGACAGGCAAAAGCCATGAAGCTGCGGAGGATTTCCACCCCGCAGCCTCCCCCGCCCGCCCCGCTACGCCTACACAACAGCCATTTGGAAGGCTTGGACACTGAAGAGAAGGGAGATCATGGTAATGGTAGTCTGATCGTATAACTTGGAGTCAAGATAACTACACCACCAGCCTAATCCATCATACCATGCCACCTCCAATGCGCACCCATAGCAAAACTCGGCATAACAGCACCACACTCTTCGCAGCGGAAAGAATCGGCATCTGTCATATCTTCCTCATCGTCTTCCCAGACATCCTCTACATCCACAGGAGATCCAATCTTCTGTGATGCTGTAGGAAAGTCCTCAGAACCTTGCCTGTGAATAATCTCACCTGTCGGCCAAGCCTCGTCCATCATGTATTCCATGCGTTGTTGGCGTGCTGACTGTAACCAGGGCGGTTCTTCTGGGGATAGCGATTCTCTTGCTTGAGCTTGGTCTTCATTTACCACCTCTTCTTTGAGTACAGATGGCTCTTCATCCATCATGTACTGCTCTCGTTGCTGCTTTGCTTCTTGCAACCAGGGTGGTTGGTCTGGTGATGGAGATGCTTCGACTTGAGCTTGCTGTTCACTGACGAAATCTTCTTCGTCCAGCGATGGCTCTTCGTCCATCATGTATTCTTGCCGTTGCCGCCTTGCTTCTTGTAACCAGGGTGCTTCTTCTGGTGATGGAGATGCTTCAACTTGAGCCTGCTGTTCACTCACCAGGTTTTCTTCAAACATGGATGGCTCTTCGTCCATCATATATTCCTGTCGTTGCTGCCGTGCTGCCGTCAACCAGGCCGGTGGTTCATCTGGCGATGGCGATTCTTCTGCTTCAGCATGCTCGTCACTCACAAGATCTTCTTTTTGAATAGGTGCAGGCTCATCATCCACCCTCCACTGCCTAAGCACCTCATCCTGCCTCCTAAACATCTTCCCAATATCCCTCCCCACGCCACCCCTCTCCCTCGCCACATCCGCCATATTCGTCGCCGCAACATTAACCAGACTAAGATTCCATCCCTTCTTCTCCGGATGCAGCTTGCGAAACAGCGGTAGCAACGTCTCTTGCAGCAATTTCTCAACCACGGCATCCATAGTATTATTATTATCGTCTTTTAGGCTGAAGACAAACGTTGGCATGGGTCCGGATTTGGATATACGTGCAAAGGACCGATTGCGGGTGCCATCTGGGTTTTGAGGCGCCCGTGGTCGGGTTGATAGTCGGAGTGTTTTCGGGTGAGCGAGCCAGCGCTTCATAGGCTTTGAAGGGGCGGAAGTGGGAGCCGTGGATATGTCGGGCGTGTCGTCATCTTCTTCTAGGAGATCGGTGTGCATTCGCTCGAGCAGTCTTTTCGCTAGCATGCGCAGCTCTTGGGTCACGGCTTCGAGTGTGTCTAAGCGCATGTAGCTGTCTTCGATACTGATCTGACGCGGTATCTCGCGTGCTTGGCCGACTTCTGTGTCGTCACAGCCGTTCAGTAGACCCCACACTTTGGTCCCGGTGCCATGTGGTACGCCCGGACCACCAAGTATCCGCTCCAACGTCTCCGGACCGATTCCGGGATGCGTCCTTACATCGCGGGCAAGGACAGTCTCTTTAGTACCACCATACACCAGTCCAGCATCAAATTCAGCCGGTCGCTGCAGTAGGTGGGTACGAAGCTTTTGTGCTATCTTGAACCCTATGCCGGGAATCTTGCCGACTTCGTGATCGTCGATGAAGGCAGTCACGTTGTCGATAGTCTCATCGTCTTCATCAATCGTATACGGAGGGACTAATGTAGTCTGAGCATTGGGCTTATATGTGTTGCCAACAAGCTTTGCCAGAAGCTTATTGGTAGAGATGCCAACGGTGGCCGTGTAGCCCTTCTCTGCCTCGAATCGAGTTCGTATGTGATGTGCTAAATGACTTCCCAGAGCCAATCGGAGGTGCAGCAGATCGGGCGTGGTGCCTACACTCGATCAGTCCTAACGTTCGGCTATGTACAGCATCTTATGGCGCATACGGTGGGCACCTGCATAATCGAATCACAGACTGTTGGTGGCAGTTCCATAGGCACGGTTGCTGGTCTCAGTAGCCGCAAGGATTCAGCAAGGGCTGTCAGCCTTGCCGTTCGCGGTCCATTCCAAGAAGATGTTTTTGCTACGCCACACCGTATGCGCCGTGTACAGCTTACCTAAGTGTTCAGAGGCCGTTTTGGGGTATAGATGACCCCTCAGCCGCGTCGCGTTGTAAGGAAACCCCACAGTGGGATCGTTCCTGTCGAGACAAAAGAAGGCGTTACTGAGGTCATTAGAGTTGAGAATGCTGACATTGTAGTCGATCATGTCGGTGACATCTAAAAACACCTAGCCCGCCTTAGCATGACTCGCATGAACGATACGGTGAGGGAACAGAAAACGTTGGGACTAAAATGAGATTGCAAAGGTGGCGGTGCTGAGACACGAGGGTCGAGAGTGGAAAGGCGACCGGGAAAGACAAACCTCATCAAAGCCTAGTCGTTCACAACGAGAGTTCCAGGAAAACGATCGCAAGAAAGCATAGAGTTCTTTAGAAGCATTCCGGAAGCGGGTAAGATCCTCGCCCAGGACGATGACTACATCTGGGCAGACCTTCTTCGCTTCGTGGATCAGCTGCAGCTTGTGCAAGCCCTGGGAGAGTCAGACTGGACCGATGACACGGGCACGGCGGTAGTCAAGGGATCGTACGCGTCGGCGGGCCTCATAGTTGCATGTGACGACTATCTGTTTTTGCTGCACGGCCAGTGGCAAGCGTCGTAATGCTGGGTTTTCATGTTCAAATACGCTGGCGTAGAAGCAGTCCTGTGGGGAGGGGCACGGTAGACGTTATCTTCTGCGCACTCAAATACGTAGACTCGGCCGCACGCGGTAAGAAGTACGTACGTAGTCCTGTGGATACGAGGGAAGGTTAGTAGGTGAGGCCGAATAGGGCGACCAAGGCGTGAAGGCTGTGCCTGGTGCTTACGAACAAAGTGGACGATGACGGAGCCGGTCTGGCGTTTCAGTTTCTTCATGGAGCAACGAGAAGCGCCGGTGTTGTGCAGCAGTTTCAGCGGCGTGCGTGTCGTGTGGAGATGCAGGTGGTGGTGCAGCGGGTGATGAAGCGCGCGTGAAGGCGCGACGTGTGTGGCCAGGTGCGAAACGCCGCCCGTCAACGCCAAGCGCCGGGCGCGGGTAGCCCAATTATGTTTGCCACGCTGCATCTATCTTTGGACAAGCCTAGTGGCTGCTGGGTATTTTGGGAGCAGCCCCAGCCAGGCGCTTCGTGTTAAGACCGTCCTGGTGGATCCGCAGCCGACATGGCAGTGTTTAATAGCGATGTGCCCCTCTAGCACTCGCCTGTCCCCAAGTATTCGCAATATCATCTGCACACTTCCGGCACCAGCCTCATACCCGTGGACACCCCCCACATGATGCTGTCCACCCTCCAGCCCTCCCACCCAGCATCATCTGCCATGTCCGGTATGACCTCAATGACTTCCTCCATGGCCGCCTCGCTGCCTATAATACCCCCGCGCCAGGCCCCGCCCCGGCCCAAACTCTCCATCAACACTGAGCAGCCGCGCATCCTGGGCAAAGGTGCCAGTCTCCGTCTTGAAACCCTCAGTGCCGTCTCGCCCACCGTCCGCAACACCTTCTCCAACGCCTATGAGCGCCCGGCGACTGCCCCAACACTACAACGCCCCTCAAGACCCCAGCTCTCCATCGAGAGCGACGTGCCCGCCACCAGCGGCTCTACCAGCGCATCCACGCCAAGTTCAGCGTCTACCCTCTCCTCCACCCTCACATCGGCCTCCAACGACTCGGCCACCCTCTCAATACCCTACAAGCAACCCCACAACCTCGCCTCCATCCTCTCCAACAGCCCCGCGCGCTCGATAATACCACGCAAGATGGGCTCCAGCCGGCCCATGTTCCCCGCCGAGAAGCGCGTCTCCTTCCGCACACCACTGGAGGAGGAGATTACCACCACCAGATACACCCTCGCACACTCCGACATTGAGTCTTCCGTCTCAACACTCTCCTCTCTCGCATCCACCGCCTCCACCACCGACTCCGACGCCTCGACATCACAGCCGTCATTAAGTCTCAAGGCTCTGAAGAACCCCTCCGAAACCAGCATATCGCCCCTCCAGCTCTCCCTCATCAGCACATCGTCCTCTGCAGAGAGCTCACCAAGACCAAAGTCGCCCCGCACCGGCGAGAAGCGCGACTCGTCCTCCTCAGACGACGACAGCGACTCAGCTCCCGAAACTCCCGTCGCCGGACGACGGAAGCGGACGCGAGACTGGCGCTGGACACTCGGTCCCTTGCCTTCAGACAACAAATCGTCAGTATCGTCGGCGAGCGATGCGACGGTCAGCGAGGACAGCAGTTGATGAGGTGACGGCGCGCATGATTACGAACTGTACAGAGTGGGACGAAGACAACGGATGCGGCGTTACATTCCCATGGCATTTCTCGGTGTTTTATTTGTCACTTTCCATGATACCACATTTGCATATCCCGTTTGTCCTGGACGAGACAATCGCTAGCATCGCATTACATTGCATTTACTATTACTTTAACTACCATTATCAAATCTACATACTACTCTGCTCTACCAACAAGAGCGGACCGACACTACATCTTTCACTTGCAGATCACTATATTAATTACTGCGCATCACACTCTTTTCCACTTGACTTCACCCACGCAAGCAAGTGCAAGTCTTATCCGAATCCCCCTCGCGATCATCACTCCTCGGCCATGTGACAGGATCGGCTGCCGATCGAACATCGAACGGCGGTGCGTGCGGGACAGCCCACAGCCACCGACCGCACATGACAAGGGCCCGAACAACGCAAGTCTACGCGACACACACAACCAGTTGCCAGGGTCTCGGAAAGCAAAGCAATCACAACGAAGAAAAACGTCCATGATCCCGAAATAACATCATTACGTGCGTGAACAGCCAAAACGCCCTTTCCCACCACATGCACTTCGTTTTTGCCTCCGCCTCCGCCTCTCAACGCAACGGTCCTGACTTGCATACACACATCCGTCTGTGTGCATGTGCAGCTAACCATGACATCACCGCCTCATCTACCGGGACCTACCCAGCCACGCCATTCAATTTACAATTGCCGTAGCCTACACACAAAGTGGGCCACGCAATTTAGCCATGGCTACTTCCGTAATCCGTAACAGGATGTGAGATCCGGATTCTCCTCTCGATGTCTGCTCGGAATCGGGCTGGGATAATGTGGCTGGCGGGAGGAAGAGAACCGCCGAGATGTTAGACGGGGGATTCAGGATACGAAGTTGTGCCGGCTTGGCTTGGTAGTAACTGGGTGGGTATGTATGGAATGGTAAGATGGAGGGAGAGGCTGCACGTGATGGAACGGTTGTAACAGAAGCAAGTACAAGGGTATTTTCAAACATCGTCGTGTGTTCTTTTCGTTTCAGTTTCATGTTCTGAACACCCCCCTCCCACCCCACTCCATCCAGTATCTGTGTGGTGTGTTTGCGACACAGCATGGGGGTCAGTGGAGACTGAACATCTCAAAATAAGCCACAGTGGGACGCGGTTTCTTTGCGAGAGTCAGCGTCGCGAAATGTGACAGCTGTCAGATGCGTCGGAGGATTATTCGTGAGTTTCGGGCATATTGTCCAGACGGTTCGTGTAACACGATCTTTACTAGAGATTGAGAATAGCAGTAAACCAGCAGTAAACCCGACGCGGCTTCAATCTCCACAATCGATACTTGAGTAGAAACATACGGGTTGTTGTTCGTATCGCGTTCGTGTCTCTACAACTCTAGCGCGATTCGGCTTCAACACCTGGGCATGTTCCTAGTCTTTTCGGTTCTCGTCTCAGAGCCTGCAAGACATGCAAGCCCGGGTAGAATGAGTTTTTCTTTTCTCATCTCGTACCTGCAGTACACTACCGAGTTCAGCACCCGGCCGGGCGATGGTGGCGCTCAAGCCTCCCCTTGCCGACTGCGCGAACGAACGCACAGCTGCAGCGAAGAACCCAGCCGCATACACGTCGTCATCGTACCTTGACAAGCACCACAAGCGCAATCACGGCAAATTGCACATCTCAACCAGTCCCGCTCCGATCGCATCGACGCAGTCAGCAATGTACATTTTTCATCGCGTTTCGTTAGCACTCCCGCGACGCGGCTTTGCAGGGATGAACAATTAGTGCGGTGTTCTGGAACGCGAACCGCGTGGTCTGCGTGATGCAGATACGGGATTGCTTTTTGAGGCTAAGAATAGCGTAGGAACCGCTAGTGAACCGTTTTCTTACTCCTGACTTTATCTGCTGGTCAGGTACGATGGGATCGGATGGGATAGGTTGCGATGGAGGTGGTGTTGTGGAAATTACGGGTATCGATCTCGGGGAGGAGTGTTTTCTTCTTTTCGACGGGTAGGTGGTATCACGATGCATGTTCTTTAATTGAATGCCTGTTCATTCAGTAATCATTCGGACATCTCCCGCGGTCGTGAAGTCTTCGATGGTTCCAAGAAAACACTTCGCAGTTCACCATCCACTCCGCCCAATAACAGCCACACAGTGACCAACCAACCAACTCACTACTCTCTCACCAACCCCTCCAGAGTCCAGAACCTCATCCCATCCCATCCCATCCCATCCTATCGATTCCGATAGCCTCAGTAGTCTCAGTAGTCCCAGCAGTCCCAGTAGTCCCAATCCCAAGCGAAATAACGATCTTCAGGTACAAACTCTACCACCCACCCACCCGTGCCATCCCTCAACCACGCGAACGTGTTCTAGACCAAACTGGTCCGTGTGGTATTATAATAGCGTGTGCGGACTAAGAGCGCAGGGAGCGGAGTCGGAGTGAGGAGCGGAGCGGAAAGCACGGAAGTGCGGGAGCTCGGAGATGAGGTATACGTAGTATATGCATGGTGGTATGGTCTAGGGTAGGGGTTGTTGGGTAGTGGTGTTTTCGGGAGGAGGTAGCATGGTTGAGAATAGTGGTATGTAAGTAAGGGGAAAGGAGAAGAGTGTAGGGGTGAAGATGGAGGGAAAGTATGCGTATGCGTATGGGGCTGTGGTGGTTTTGTAGGTTGATAGGAGAGAATTGGTGAAGGTACACTATTCGTTTCATTCAACAATCTTGGAACGTAGCGGAACGCAAATACTGATGCCATTCATATCCACGTTCTAAGAGGAATGTGTAGTACAAGAGTATCTCTCGAAGTATATTGCTAACACCACATCGCCGAGTCCCAATGAATCCCAAAGTAGAGTGATGACCTAGTCTATCATCCTCCACGACTGCCAACACCAACTCCAGACTCCTACCCCATATACCACGGGTATCCTCAACGCCATAACAAGCCCAACGCCTACAACGCCATTGAATCCTGTAAGGCATGACACTCGCTATAGTGATCCCACTGTTCTCCAACCGTTGACGCCATACTCCCACTCATTTTCTACCATAAACGCCATACCCCCCCATATCCAACTCCATCACAACCCCATCACCACCCCCCATCTCCCTCCCCCCCTTCATCTTCCCACCTACACACCCTCCCCACCCGGCGTAAAATCCAATTTCCCACTCGCCATAGCCCAAACCAGTCCGCCCATAATCCCACTCAATATAACCACAATAAAGCACACAAACCAGACCATACTCTTCCTCTTCCTCCAACCCCTCCTCACCTTATCAAAACACCCCTTGCTCTTCTCCCTCTTCTCTTTACGTTGATCTTCGATTTTCTTGGCTGCTGCCTCAGCGGTAAGGCGGGTAAGACGGTCCTTGCGGAGTTCGGCTTTTTCGTCGTCGGAGATGAGGGAGCGGGGGCGGCCGAGGGGGTGTTTGTGGGAGAAGCGTTTGGTGTAGAGGCCGGATGAGTGAGAGTGGGAGGGGGTGGTGAAGGGATAGGGGGAGGTGGGAGTGGGGGGATAGCCGTCGGAGGAGAGGGATTCAGGTACCATTTTTGTCTCTGAGATGGCGTGGTCGCGCCAGGCGGCGTGCCGGCTATCCAGTGTGCCGTCTTTAGACCATTCGATGACATCGTCGATAGCGGCTGTGAGATGATCGCCTTCGAGACTATAGGTAAGCGCCTCCCAGAGCTGAAGATCAATCTTGCGGATGTCCACGCCGGCCATAGCAAGCGTATTCGCAATTCCCTTCCACGAGTTCTTGGCAGAAGGATCGACACCAGACAGACTCGCTGGGTTTCGGACGTAGAGCCAGGACTGCGCCAAGTCGACGAAGCTGTCGAGGGAGATGGCGGTTTGCTTTACGCCGAGGCCGACGGTGTGGTTGTAGAGGACGAGGTTGTTGTCTTTGCTGATGGGGAGGCCTTGCGGGTACCAGTTGTTTTGTGCCTGTCGGGCAAAAGGGAGAGTGCGGAGGGAGCAGAGGATGGCCATGAGGGCGCGGTCGCGGTCGGTGTACGTGTGGTGGTGTGGTCCGGCTGAGATGGAGTGGAGGTCGTAAAGAGTGGACTCGGGCGCGTGCTTGAAGTCGTCTTCGATGATGGCTTGGATGCGGTCGACCATGTTGCGGGTGCTGAGTACTGTGTTTGCGTTAGCAAGCAATTCGAGAAGTGTGGCTGAGGGATCCGGTCCGCATCTCTTCTCGGTTCAACTATTACTAAAGCAGAGCTACTCACAGTAAGGCAAAGCATCGCAGACACGACACAGCTTCAACCCCATGAACTCAACCACAACATTCTTAACCGGCTTCTCATTCACCGTAGGCACAACAAGCACCCCATCCCCAACTCCTCCGTAGATAGTATGCTTCGTCCTCGGAGAGGACGCTCCAGAAGTGCTTTGTCTGGGCGACCGTACAGTATGCACACTCGATGAGGAAGAGTTCCACCCTTCGTTGCCGTCAGGCCCAAGACGGTAGCCGTTGGGTGTTGTGTGTGCTTGCTGAGGGACGCTGGGTCTGGAAAATGACTTTGATGTGGGAGGCGAGGGAGGCGCCGATGACAATGTAGAAGATGACGACGCGAACGATCGGTCCTGGCTGGTGTAGCTATCCGCATCGGGAGTACTGTAGGCATGGCATGGTTGAAGTGCCGGATGGTCTTCATGATTGACAGTAGCGGACAGTGAGCGTCTCCATGCGGCTTTTGAGCTCGACTTATCAGCGGGGACGATAGTGTCCTGATGCAGTGTCAATGGATGTTTTGGTGTGGTGAGCGAGATTGCGTACCTTGCTACCATGCCGCGATGGGACGCCGTCGTCGCATCGCGATGTTGTAGCCATTGCGATGCACGGCGGTCAATGAAGCGATGAATGAAAAGAAAAGAGACACTCAGTCCATCGAAATGAACTGCAAATGAGATTGAAGAGAGGTCAAGCAGCTGAGAGATCGAAAGGCAAGAGGTTCGGGAAGGGAAGGGATTGTATCAAGTCGGCTTCTGGCCAATGCGTACTGGCATTACACGTCGACGAGCACCAGACCGATTCGCTATCAGACCCCTCACGATACACACAATCATGTTCTCATCAACACTCGACATCACTCATGTGTATGGTGCGTGTTGTGGATCGCGACCCTGGATCGCTCAACAACCACTGGATGTGTGACCCCTCACGTTGATCCACCCCGATGCAGCTGAGCTCCCAGACTTGTTCAATTGGATTGTTTCGCAACGTTGTTTGTTGATTCGTAGTTGGTATTTGAACGCGCAGGCGGCCACGACGATGGTCACTTCGAGAACTGCGATGGTGCCATATCCAGCCTCAATTATCGTCATTCAGTGCTTTGGCATCCTCCACCGCCGCTCTAGCAATCTTCTTCAGCAGAGATTTGAAGTCCGCCTCCCGGAACTTTTCCCAACGATCCAAACCCTCGCTCGCATCGATTGATAACGTCTCGTACCCCTGTTTGATGACGGCGCTGACTTCTTGCGGGCTAAGATGCTTGGACCGCGCTTTTCCATTGCTCTCCAGCAGGGATTGGTAATGTGAAGACACATTGATGAGCGTCTGCATGGAGTCTGATTGGCCTGATAACCCAAATGTGTCCCGGAACTTGATCAGTGTGTCGCCGCTTTCCACGAGCTTGTAGAATAAGTCGTCATACGATGCAGGGTCGGGCAGGAAGTTCTCTCCGCTAGACAGTGCAAAGGCCAGCAGATTGACAAGTATGCTGATCATTCCGTTTGATTTGTAGTTGGACTTGATGTCGCTTTCGTAGGTGGTGAGGAAGCGGACGAAGGAGAGCAGGGTCCGCCACAACTCCGACCAATGGTATGTGATGCGCGTCTTCGTTCGACTGAGGTGCGAGAGGAGACGTAATAGAACGCCGAGACAGAGGCTGGGAGCGGATTAGCCAAGTATGTGCCATATTGGGACTCAGACTCACATGTAGAAGTCAACGTCTAATCGCCTCCGCAGGTTATGGCTGATGGCGTCAGACATCATGTCTAGAATGACAGCTGCAGGGACACGATCGCCCCTCACTGCCGGCAGGTAGGGCTGTCTCTGACGGCACAAGCGCACCGAAAGCTTCGACTCGTCACTGCATAGGCGTTTGGCGAGCTCTCGGTCTTCGACAAGTATCTGCAGCACGAATAGGCTGAGGTATGTGTATAGTGCGGCCCGGGTAGACCGATGCGCGTGTTGGAACATGTAGGACGTCAAGGAAAGGTATGCGCTTAGTGGCGACGGTTCGCTCTTGTCCGCTGGAGCTGACTTGACTAGGTTGAAGCAGAAGACTTTGTTGGCGTTGGCGAAGTCGTACGTGGAGAGAAGTACGCCAATCTCAGGCCCTGGTCTAGCCATACGTTAGCATGAGCTGTGACTGCGACCATGAGTGCTTACAATGCAGCGAAGAGCGACTTTGCTTCATCCGGAGCCGGCACAGGTGTGGTTGGCCGGGAACTGGGAGCAAGAGCACCCAGGCCAATATAACTCAACGTCGAGCCCAGCGACCAGCCCTCTGGCATGTCGTCCTGTACAGCTACATAGGCGTCCCGCAGCTTTGTACATGTATTCCCAAAACAAGCGACCATATCCTGTATGATAGCATCGTTGACAAAGTCGTCTAGCCGCAGTCTATACGGGTTCTGAAACTCGAATTTGTTGTAGTTGGTGAGGAGGCCGAGGAGGTAGAGCGCGGGGAGGACTTGGGTGCTGTCGTCGCAATCTTGGATGTACTACTGGCTGTGAGTATGCATCCCCCCTGTCTTGCTTTCTGTCGTACCTTCATGAGCGAGGGAAACAAATCGCGATGAGTAAAGTACGACGGAAGCGCAGTCTGAAAGCCAGCAGCAGTAATCGAAAGAGCCGCTCTAACAGCCCTCAAGCGCAAAGGAACTGCTCTTGGTCAGCCCATCCCTCCACAACACCCCCTCTATACATACTATCCCTTCCCCCCCGTATCGCCGTATCCAGCGCCGCAACAAAGTCCGTCATAACCGCATCCGCATCATTCAGCCCCGTAAGAACAGCTATGATATCAGAGCTAGGATTCGTGTACTTCTTCGTGAGTGCGGCATCGAGGAAGACTGTCAAGGTCTAAGCGGTAAGCGCATGTCGAAGGTGTGTATTTGTGCGTGGGTGGGTGGCATGGGTACCTCGAGGGCGACTTCGTCGGCGGGCGCGCGGGCTTGCTTGACGCGGAGGATGGCCTGGCTGAAGAGTGCCTGCGAATGCGCTTGCTGGTGCAGCATCTCGTCCGGCGCTACCGAACTGAGTATGCGCTGAAGGCCGGTGGGGTCGGGGCGGTGGAGGAAGAATTCTTGCCAGAAGCCGGCGGATAGCTCGACTTCTTCGTCGTCTTCCTGGGGCGGGTTAGCATGTGGCTGGCGCAAAGTGGGTGGAGATGGAGAGGATCGCACTTTGAAGAGGGTTTCGTAGAGGGAGATTATCTTGGGTTGGAAGATTTCCGGTCGCGTGTCCTGCGTCAGCGGTGACGGCTCCATGGTTGTGCGTGCGAGGGACTTTGGGGAATTTATCGTGGGTGATGCAGGGCTTCAGATGGTGGCAGTCGCAGGCGCGTCGCGCAGCATGGGGAACTAGCGGGCCGGTGGGCGATCAGACGCCGACAGCCCCACCATTCACACGTGTGAAGGTGAGTAAGTCGTGTGAAGGGGGGTTACTAGACAATATCTACTCGAATTATTCTTATTATTGTGAACCGTCAGTCCATCCCAAAGGAAGGCGCGACCAGACTCCCGGTACCCCGCGTCCCTCCAACTCTCCACCCCTCCAACCACGATGCCACAACCCCTCCTAGTCGGCATCTCAGGCCCCTCCTCCTCGGGCAAAACAACCCTCTCCCGCCTCCTCCGCGACATCTTCCCCCCCTCCAAACTCTTCATCCTACATCTCGACGACTTCTACCTCACCGACGCCGAGATCCCCGTCAAGAACTCTGTCCAGGACTGGGATTGCATAGAGTCGCTCAACCTACCTGCGCTCAAACAAGCACTGCAGCACATCAAAGAACATGGTAACAGCCCAGACTGGCTGGTCAGCCAGGAAGACCAGAACAGTGTAGGCGAACATGGTGTACCCGAGGCTGAGATCAAGAGGTTAAGAGATGAGGTAGCGGGGTGGTTGAGGAGTAAGACCGAGTGGCAAGAGCGACGGATATGTATTGTTGATGGCTTTTTGCTGTTTTCGCAGGATATGAGGGATATTCGTGAGATCTTTGATGTTAGACTCTTTTTACGGACGAGCTATGAGACTGCGAAGCGGAGGAGGGAGGCGAGGAGTGGCTATGTGACGCTTGAGGGCTTCTGGCAAGATCCGCCGGGTTATGTAGATGATATTGTGTGGCCGAATTATGTCAAGGACCACAAGTTCTTGTTCAGGAATGGGGATGTGGATGGAGAGCTGGATGAGAAGGTTTGCGAGAGCGTTGGCATATATGGCATGCCGAGAGAAGCGGAGGGCGATATGACGAGGTGTTTGCGTTGGGCTGCTGGGTTATTAGAGGATGTCATCAAGAGGACATGAGCACTTTTCGAGTTTGTATTATTATACTTGTATCCATGTCACTTTGGAGCTTGACAACTCAAAAACTACATACCCCGATCCCGTACCTGATTGTTACTACTCAAGAACGCCTATGCGCCATTAGACAATGCCCTACCCACCAGCCATGCAGAAGTGATGATACACAAATGTCAAAGCGAAACGGCCGACTCATCAAATCTTGAAGTCACCGCCTTCCTAGGTGCTGGACTTGACCTTATCGATGTAAGCCTGTCCGGGGCTCTCATAGGTAGGCACAAAGAATGTGTTGATCTGAGCTTCCTTGGAGAGCCACGTCGTCATTTGACTGAGCTCCTCGCGCAAGCGCGTGACGGCCTGGTGGTCCATGTTGGTTTGCGCGATGAGTTCGGGCATGGTGACTGTGAAAGCCTTATTAGCAATATTCACACCCAACTACTCATATATGCATACCCAGAAGACGCAGAAGATGCTCGCCGCCGTAGATGTCAGCCAGCGGCTTTGCTGCAAGATCATCCGTCGGCGAATTGATGCGCGTCCAGATGTCATAAAACTGCTCGCGCTCAAATCGGTACAAGAGAAGACGTCCGACGCTCTTATTGAAGTACTCCTTCAGTCCAGCTATGACTTCCTCGAGAATGTCCTGCTCGATGCTGGTGCGGTTGCTGTTGTCTTTGACATGCTTCATGTACTCATCCAGTATGACGCCTGCAGGGTAAGCTGAAGGCAGCTGAACGAGTTGCAGGTTCTTAGTGATGTTCTCCCAGTCATCGACTAGGAGGCTCTTTAGTCTATCTGGCATGTAGATCCTGACAGCCAGTTTGTTCTGGAATGCTTCTTCCTAAGGGGAGTTAGAGAGTGCGTTGGGAAGCACGAGCGGATTGCTGAGATACACACCTTCTCCAAGTCATTGTCCCGCACCCTCTTCTGACCACGTGGTGCAGCAGTGACGGAGGTTTGGCGCTCTTCGCTACCGCGCGCCGAACCTTGAGCCTTCTTTTTCGCAGGTGCGGGTTGAGCTCTTGCGGCACGCTGGGCTGCCAGCATCTCGTGCCTGAGGTTATTGGCTAGCTCTCGGTTCTCGGGAGACAGCTTGCGAAGCCGATCCTCAGGAACCCAGTCGTCCCAGCTGCGATGCGTTAGCTTACGATCTCAAAAGCAAGGCGTGGGTTTTTGAGTTTTGAGGGGCCGATTTGAAATGATGTGCCGCTGCAAATGTGTAGTAAAGATGTAGTACGTGGGCATAAGTGAAGTGTATGCAGAGGCAAACGTGACTTCCGCAGTGGGAGATGGAGTGACAAGCAGACGGGCGCAGACTCGAACGGATAGAAGATACGTACGTGTTCTTCCAGCCCTTGTAGTGGACTCTGTATTCGAAGCCATTCTTCTTGTCTTCTTCTACAGGCCTGACTTCGAGCACCTTGGCCTCGTATAGCAACTCATGGTGGAAACAAAAGACCTTTTCATCTTTCTTGAAGGAAGGCTCTGGCGCAGCTGCGGGCGCCATGATTGCGATGGAATGTGATGAGATTGATGTTGATGGGTTTGGTGGTCAGGAAGGAAGCGGTAAGGGTGCGAGAGATTGCACGTCCACGTAGCGCGTCTTCGTGCCAGCCTTGGTGTTCAACAATAAGGACGATACTTTGCGCCGCGAAAGTGGAGTGGGAGTTGCCTGAAATCTGTATACCGTCGACAAGCTTGGTGAAAGACGGTTCAGTCGACGTTTGCTTGGAGTCGTCCAGGCACGTCTCACGGGAGTTTTCTGGGCACGGACCACAACGCGTCGTCGCGCGTTCCGATGGCCCTCCTTCATTGGCGCATCCACCACCAACACTGCCGTATCAATCATATGCGTGGGCACTTTCCGGCCTGAAATCGACATCTACTACTCCAAACATGCCGTCGCAAGAGGCCAAGATCCTCGGTGACTTCCTCCTCGCACCTGCTCCCTTGCGCGACTTCACCACCCTACGCGACTTCACCGACATCTTCCCCCGCGCCCATCGCTCCAACCCCGCTGTACAGGAAATCTATCGCGAGCTTCAGCACATACGCGACAGGGAAATCGAGCTGATTCGCCAGGACATTATCGATGAGGTCAAACGGTCTAAGCAGCTGAGGCGGGAGTACGCTCGGGAAAGACGCCAGGTAGACGATGCAACCGTCGCCGGACTGGACCCGATTGCGCTTCAAATGGAGCAGGAGGTACCCAACATATGGGAAGAATGCCAAGATTTGCGCTGACAATGCCCAGCTCTCCGGCCAAAGTCGCAAGAAACCGCACACGCTACAGACGGTCCACTCCGACATCGAAGAAGCATGCCAAACCCTCGAGGCCCAGATCGCAGAGATAGAGCAAGAGAACAGACGGGCTTTGGCTGAAGTTCAAGACGTCGTTGGCGCCCTCAGTGAGCTGCGACATGGCCGCTTCGCTCCATCGTCCAGTGGGGAAAACATTGGAGAAGAAGTCATGGCCACGCTCAAGCGACTTGAAGCTGTTTGCGATAAACCGGCAGGATGAGAATTGCGAATATCCGAGGACCGTCTTGACATATACAACGTACAAACATGCGGAGCACGATAGCTGTCGAACGCTTCAGTCTTCGACTAGGTTACGCATCCCTAAGATGGCAGACCTGCGCATTACCGCCCAAGGCTATCCACTGCATAACGAGGGCACGCTTGCGCACTATTCATGCTGGGCAGAGAAGTAGTGTGCCTACAGAGACACCCGTGCGATCCCGCGCTACGCCGAGCAGCAGACCCTATTCTTCAATCCTCGACAGGAACAACACCACCACTGGGAAAGAGGGAGCCGAATCACCCCGTAGATCTGGATCGAATTATAGCCTGTGATGTATCGCAGCACGTTGCAGTGCTCCCTGTTCACCCTCGAGTCATCACCAAGGCTATGTATTCAGGATAAAGTGAGCGCACAAGGTAGCTGCCACTCCCATCCGCCGGACCTGCGCATTACGACTCTGGTACATGACATCATCCGATTCTTATGACGGCATATAGCATACCATAACATATTGCCAATGCCTGATGTAAAGCTTGGTGTACTCATTCCCTGGCGCATTGACCACGCACGCGTCTGTATCCCCGTTAGCCAGGACCATCACGAGCACAAGACAGCGTGACAAACCCAGTACGAACTCGAGAAAACATACCCTGTCCACTTCCATCATCCCGCCGTCCAGGTTAGCGACCCCGCGTATACTGCCTGCACGCACCCCGTGATTGGCTGCACGCACCACCGCAATTAATCTATCCAGATGAACATTGTCAATCCCGCAAGTATCAACATCTAGTCCGCCGTTACAGAGATCTGTCTATAGCAAAACTTCTACACGTGTTCAGATCAGGATGATTGTCTTATACCGCGTCGCAATGCAATTCCTTTCCGTTGTCTTGACATCTATGCCGTACTTGCTGAGATGATGCTCCTACCCTCACTCCTAGCAGTACTACTGTCTCTAACCACCTATCCCTCCCTCACATCCGCCTCCTCCCTCAGAATAACCTCCCCCAACCACTCCTTCGGCGGCGTAAACTACCCTCAACTCCAATTCTTCACCCCCTCCCACCGCGCCGCCACAATCCGCGAAATCATCAAAAGCGGCGCCCGCGTAATCCGGCTCTTCATCCGCCCAGATGCCCAACACCCAGATCCAGAAGGCGAGATAGGCGGCTTCGACAAGTCGCTGCTCGACCAATTCGATGACACGCTAGCAGCTATCCACCATTTGTCAAAAGGCCAGATGAAAGTCATCATCGCACCGCACGACGCACATGCACTTCGGGGTACAAATGATGTCGCGTGTGATGCTTACTGCCAGAAACTTGACGGCGCGTTTCTGGATTTCTATAGTAATGAAGAATATCGCGACATGTACAAAACACGCCTCAGCGTCTTCTTCACCCACTACCCCTCCAAGAACTTTGACGGCCGTCCCTGGAG